GCATTTAGTGCCGATATTGCTAGTAGGTTCATGGAAAAGCCAAAGGTATCACACTTGGAAGCGGTTAAGAGGATCCTTTGTTATGTGAAAGGTAATCTTGGCTGTGGAATTTTTTTCCGGCAAGTGACACGGGCAGAAGTTACAATTTACTTGGATACACCGACTCCAATTGGTGCAGAGATAAAGACGATAAAAAATCAACGGCGGGTTATGTCTTTATGTTTGTCGGTGCACCAATCTCTTGGTGTTCTCGAAATGATCTGGTGGTTGCTCTCTCTTCTTGTGAGGCGGAGTATATTGCAGCTTTGATGTGTGCATGCCAAGTTGTGTGGCTTGTGAATCTGTTGCTTGAGCTGGACAGGTGCGCGAGAGAGGGAGTTTTGTTGTTGGTGGACAACGTTTCAGCCATCAACCTTGCTAAGAATCCCATAGCACATGGGAGAAGCAAGCACATTGAGATGAGGTTCCATTACTTGCGCAATTTGGTGAGTTCTGGACAGTTACGTTTAAGCTACTACATAAGTGAAGAACAAGTTGCGGACTTGTTGACAAAATCGGTTATAAACGATGTTTTCAAGCGACTCGTGGTGAAGTTGGGGATGAAGAACATCGAGCATTTGACTTAAGGTGGTAGGTTGGATGTTATATAAGTCAAATGCAATGTAACTATGATTGGAAGCTATTTGAAAAGCTGTCAGAATGCTGCAGGAAAAACCAGAAAAATACTTATGTTTTTAGGCTGTTTTGTTTAGCTTTTATTTGCTACTTTGTTTAGTGTTAGTATGCACTATATATACATTTTGTAACATGTTGAATGAGTTAATGGCATATAAGTTTTTTACCCTCTCAATTAATCTCTATTCTCTCTAAACTTCATCTTCCCCAATCCTCCAATTTCACCAAAATTATCCATCGCCTCCATTGATTCACATACAAGCTTTTGTGCTTGTTTCAACAAGTAGGTGTTTAACTGATGTTTTATGATTATTTGATTCATGCAGGAAATGATGGTTGGGCTGCTCCTTGGCTCAAAGATGCAAATTTGCCTTTAGACAAGTTACGGGAAGGCTATGTTGATCACAAAACAACAACGACTTTTACTTAAAATATATGGTATAATTATTGTTTACACAAGAGTAAATTGTTAATAATGTTGGTGAAGTCTAATATATTTGCAGTGATGATGAATTTGTTAGCTTGAGTTTTATTGAATATTTACTTTGAAGTCTAATTCGTTTTCACTGCCTTTAAGGATTCTGTAAGAACATTTACTTTGAAGTTTTTACAATGCAATACAACATGAAAATTGGAAACCATGCACTTAATATTGTCTTATGTTCATGTTATTTTTGTTTGTATTGGTTCTGAACTTTTGTTGCAAGTTATTTGAGCAGTTATCTATATGGCGTTATCATCTGGTTTTGCTAAAAGAAAGTAACAAAATGAAGGTACTTAACTTGCTATAACCTAGCCAATCGATTCAATCTAAAGTGTACATAAATCAATAACAATACTTGCTGAGATTCATCTGCAGGATTTACTTTTACTTCATCAAGCACTTTCTACGAAGTTCATTTCGAGTCAAAACTTGATGAGAAGCGAGGTATTTTGCATTCAACTTGTGATTATATCCAACTTGTCAATTATATAATCAGATACTAGCCGAATCTATTACTATCCTACTTGGAACTTTTTTCATTCATTTTTTTACTTGACCAGCTGTATAGGAGCTTGATGAGAGGGAAGACAACATGTAGATGATTGAAAGGTCAGAAGAAGAGGAAAAGGAAAGAAATTAAGACTCATAATGCTCAGTTGCACGCCGCAGTATCGGTGTTGCTGCCACTGTTGCAGCATTTACGGCTACTATAACATCGTTCGAAAAGCTTAATGTTATGGCTTCTGCTGCAATTGCTTCTGCAGCTTCTTTAGTAGCTTCTTACTACATTCAGATTGCAGAAGATATGAGAGCTGAACAGGACCAGATCATAAACGCAGTCAACTCGGCTATTAACGCAAAAACTAACGGAGATATTATAATATAGTCAATTTATGAATCTCAAATTCTAAATCAAAACAAGAGAAAATGTGGAGTTTCTTGAGAGGTCTTGTATTCATGGATTGATTTATTGTTTGAGAATCTGATATTGCAGAAAATCAACCATATGGTGGCTGAGATTTTCTTCTATAATTTGAATGTAATGCATGCTAACTCAACCATAAGTACTCAGTAATGACTCTCTTATATATTAACTAAAGAAATTGTCTATTAATGTAAATAGCAGTATTATAAACTGTGTTTTTGTCTCTTTACTAAATTAAAATATCATAATTGCAATTTTAATATAAATAGGTATCAAATAATCTTTTAATGCAAAATTAATTTTAATTTATATGAATCTCTATTTTTTTTTTCGAATTCATGACTTAAATCACATCTTAATGTAGTCAGTCTGATATATTTTATTTTTATTTGATTTGAGGTTTATATATGTCAACTTTTAATGATACATTGACTATCGATTTAATTAATTTTTAATATTAAAATAATTTATTGTAATTAATTTTAACGTAAATAGAGTAAAATTGGTTGTATAAAATATTTATTGGCAATATATATTATAAAGTCTTTATTTTTTTACTGGACATTATAAAGTATTTGTTATTCTTTATCTTTTAATTTTTTTAATTTCTATCTAATTTCATTAATATAAAGAACTTTATAAATAATTTATACACTTTAAATTATAAGTCGTTTTAACTATTTCATACAAATCAATAAGTATCACTAATTTTGTATTAAAAACATAAATTTTATATCATTTTTTGATATTATATATATATATATATATATATATATATATATATATATATATATATATATATATATATATATATATATATATATATATATATATATATATATATATATATATATATATATATATATATATATATATATATAATTTTGTTAAAATAGTTATTAATAAAAAGTGAAGAAATTAATATAACTAAAAATAAATATTTCAAACCTTTTCATACAAAATTTATATTGTTCTTTTAAAAGAAACATTGGGCCTAATATAACTATTATTTTTAAATACTTTCATTAATATTTCAAAATTTTCATTTAACATTTCAAAATATTTTTGGGTCAGAATAAAACATTTTTAGAAAAGAAATATTAGTTAGTTTATTAATTTTTGGCACATTAAATGAGATATTTTATTTGTGGAAATTAATTACACGATATTAAAGTTATTAAATTTAAATTGAATGTCTATATACTTTAAGAAATTAAATGTGCAGTTTTTAAAAATATTATCTTAAAAATTGTGTACAAATTTTAATTAAAATATAAGATTGATTTTTAAATTGTGTTTTCCAATACAAATTTACTATAAATGAGTTTCTTAACTTTTCCTTGAAGTACTAAAAAAAATAAATGCAGTTTTCTTGTGATAACTTTTTTATTATCATTAAATAAGTTTTTTATTAAAAAAGTAAAATTGTTAATTTTTTTATTTTCACCTTTTTTTTAATAATAACAATTTGATTTTTTATTATATAATTTACTTTAAATTAATTGCTATTTTATTTTTTTCTAACTTTAATTTTTTTATAAATTAAAAAATTATTTTTATTAATATTTTCTAACATTTATATATATATATATATATATATATATATATATATATATATATATATATATATATATATATATATATATATATATATATATATATATATATATATATATATATATATATTTCTTTTGCATTTTTATAATTTATTATATTCGTACAAGTACAGTGATTTTGCAAAGTTATTTTAGCCGTAGGTCCGCACGGTATATGACTAGTTTTGATAATAGTATTATTATAACAATTGGAAAATTGTTTTTATTTTCATATATCATATTATCAATATTTTATTTGTCTATCTGCGATTCTGGCAAAAATAAACGCATTTTAATTAAACTCAACCTTGCCCCTGTATCGCGAACAAGTTGAAGTCGCCGTGAACTCAACTGGCCGTAAAAACGCCGGCGGAGGATGCGATCTGCGGCCACGATAGCCGCCACCGCCACTGCCAAAGACAACGCACCAGCGCTCTAAAGCTGTTCGATTGAATCCATAGGTATTGTGCTTCCATTCTTTGAATTATCGAAGAAAGTAACGGTAGTTCGGAAAAACCATGTTTTTAATTTTCTCTGCGTGATAACCACTCAGTCACATGTCTTTGATCATTACCTTTCATTTTCATTGTGCTCTGGTATTGTCTGAAATATTCACGCGGCTGCCTTGCACACCATGTGTTTGATTTATTGTTTATATCACATGGTTTTGCATTTTCAGAATAGAAAAAAAAAAGTTGATTTCAATTACTTGTGAAATTACATAGTCTCTTGATCTACCATGTTTTCAGATTCCCCTAGTACTTGCAATGGTCTCAAAATATTTTCTTCATATGCAATAGCTTTTTTGTTGTTGCAGAAAGTATGCTGTTCTAGTGCTAATTTTTGGGTTTGATTGGGAATTGTCTTTTATGCAGTTCCACATTCTTCCTCTTCCGCTTGTCCAACCAGTGTCTTTAATAATCCTGTTCCAAAAACATGTGTTAGTTTATATTTAATCTTGATGGGTTGCATCGACAGAAAAAGGACGTGCACGCATCGAATGTTTGTTTCATGTAGGTTACTATTCGATTGCATCTTATTTAGAAGAAGTATATGTCCTTGTATGTCTGCAGTTATTGCATGTATCTTGAAACTCAAGAGCATATGTTTAACCTTGATGATAGTTTTTCTGTTAATTATTAGCGTGATTCATGTGATTCTTTTCAGTTGATTTAAAAGAATATAGATAGAAATCATGAACCAAAAAACGAAAGAATTAACTTTGCATCGATAACACATTACCTATTAGTTTGTTATTTTTATCTCTTTTTTATTTGACTAAATTGCTTGATTTTCAACCCACTTGTCAGATGATTGAAGAATGACTCTAACGAAACGGTATGTGCTGAGATTGTTCATATCAATAAAGTACATTACTGCAAACGTTGTAGATCGAAACAGTGGACGAATAGTAGCAACGTCATCCACCGCAGAACACGACATCAAGCAGTCCTTGGAGTGTGCCAGGTCCTGCAATGCAAAAGCAGCAGCTGTTGTTGGGGAGGTATTGGCCAGGCGACTCAAGGTTGAGGGGCTTAATGAAGGAGAAGGAAGAGGTATTCATGTTAATGTAACTAAGGAAATAGAAAAGAAAGGATTTAAGAGCCAAACCAAAATTTGGGCTGTGGTAAATGCTCTTAAATACAATGGAGTTACACTTGTCCTTGATGATGAAGATGATGGCAATAATTCTTGACCTCATTCATAAGATAGGAAAGGAAGTATGTTTGGTTTCATTTCTTAGATGTGTCTGAGTTAGATGTAACTGAAAGATCATCAATATAATCAATTTATTTATGATACAATCTTTGAGACAAAACAACATAAATGCCAAACGATAATTACCAATTGGGCTGCACGCAAAAAATAACGAAGAAATAAAGGTAATTTCTTTGTGCTTCATATATGTTATTTCTCAAAATGGCAAGTTTACAACAATGACAATTTTTCTAGGTTCTTGGTTTCTAGAATATCATATTATTCTCTATTTGTTTTCTTTGCATTTTTGTGGAACAGACAATTAACTGAAAGAAAAGGATAATGGAGTTGCTAGTTTTTTTATTTAAACTGAAAGAAAAGGATAATGGAGTTGCTAGTTTTTTTATTTAATTTGAAGAGTACTGTAATTATTTTATAAGTTAATTTTATAGTTAATTTTCAAACAATTGTTTGAATACTTTGATGTTTGAAAATTCATCAACTGGTTCAATTATTAATTTTATCAAACACTTTAATTTTAATTTAATATATTAATTTATCTTCTATCAACTAATTTATCAATTATTATAAACACTTTAATTTTAATTTAATATATTAATTTATTTTCTATCAACTAATTTATTAATTATTATATGAATTAGTTCGGTTCTTTTTTATTTTACCAAATAAATCATCACAAAAGGAAAATAAAATGACAAGATTTGAGAGTGGGCCATGAAACAGAAACAATTTTAAGGGATTGCTAATTTAACCCTGATCTTACTGATACACCCTTCTCTATATACAATGTCTTTTATAAAACCCTTTCTCTTTACACTAAGATACTAATAAAATTGATATAATGTTTTGGTTATACTATTAATAGCACCATTATATATATCTTCAATCATATAATTTTATGCACTGACTTTTTTCCTATCAATGGAAGTGATTAGATAAATCTAACCACACTCTAATATTTATTTATTTAATCATTGTTCCTTTATTATTTTTACAAATAGATAGCAATGTTAGGCATAATGTCTTTTTTTAAAGGGTTATGTATCACGTTAGTATACTGAAATTAAATGCTATTTATTATTGAAAAGCACGCACATACCAATTTTTTTAATCTCATTTAATGATGTAGCTTTCTTTTCACAATATGTGGCACAATGGATAACCCCAACTTTTTGCCAATCCAAATAACAGCATTTACAATAAATAAATTTTTACTCATCTTGTATTTTTTTATCCCACTTTTATTCAATTAACTATTACTACCCTACAATCATAGTCATTGTACTATTGAACAACAAGAAGAAAAACCTTCTACCAACCAATAGTCACAAATAGATTAAAAAAAATTCAAAGAAAACAACCAAATCTCTTTAAGCAAGCCATCACCAAATTCTCCTGTTTTCTTGGTGGTTGGAAGAAGGAATTGGAGTTGAGAAGGTGAAAAAATTGAAGAGGGAAGAAGGAAAATGATTGGGGAATCAGGAAAGTGGGTGGTGCTAATAACAACAGTTTGGATACAAGCATTCACCGGAACAAACTTTGATTTCTCATCATACTCATCTGAGCTGAAATCAGTTCTTGATATAACTCAGCTTCAGTTGAATTGTCTTTCAGTTGCATCTGATATGGGGAAGGCGTTTGGATGGTGTTCTGGTGTTTCACTCATGTATTTTCCTTTGTGGGTGGTTATGTTCATGTCTGCTTTTTTGGGGCTTCTTGGTTATGGCTTCCAGTGGCTTGTTATTCAAAGATTGATTACCTTGCCTTACTTTCTGGTTAGTTTATTTTTTTCATCATTCCTAATTAATCTCTCTTTGCATCTTTGGTTGTTATTGCAATTTTTGTTACTTTGATTTCTGAGTTTTATTACCTCATGCTGATTTGGTTATGAAATTTGGCAACTAGCAACTAGTAATTTTGAGATTTGGTAATGGAACAAGGATAATTGTTAAGGATAGGATATGGCCTGACCATGTGTTTATATGTTGGGACAATTCTCACCTTACCAACCGGTTTTATAGGGTTGAGTTAGACCCAACCACATTTTCTGACATGGTATCTGAGTCTCGTTTAAGATCCGGCGAACCACCTACTATGATTTTCACTATCAATGGTTGAGTTAGACCGAACCATATTTCCCACATTACGCTAATGTGGGAATTAAAAATGCAATCATTGGTCTCACATTCTCAATGTGATGACCATTTTTACTGTAGGTGTTTTTCTATGTTAACAAAACAATATTGTTGTACTGCAGGTGTTTTTCCTATGCTTGATTGCAGGATGTAGCATTTGCTGGTTCAACACAATCTGCTATGTATTATGCATAAAAAATTTCACAACTAACCGTTCACTTGCGTTATCTTTAAGCATAAGTTTCAACGGTGTAAGTGCAGCTTTCTACACTCTCATTGCCAATGCAATAAACTCAAACAATGACACTCTCTATCTCTTACTCAATGCCATTATTCCTCTCCTCATTTCAGCATTAGTACTCATTCCAATTCTCCAACAACAGCCACAACCTCAGCAACAACATTCCGCCTACACACATAACCTCCGCGATTCCTTAGTTTTTCTTTGCCTCAACATCCTTGCACTTGTCACAGGCCTTTACCTTCTCTTCCTATATTCCTTCTCGTCGTCGTCCCTGACTGTTGCTCGCGTTATCCTTGGTGGTGCGATTTTTCTCTTGGCAGTGCATTTTTTCTTGCCAAGCATTGTGAACTTGAAAGAATGGTCTTGTTTTACCCTCCCTACAATTTTCAATCTTGTTGACAATAACGATGAAAACGAACTTCACAAAGAACTCATTTGTAAGGAGGATAATGATGCAAGGAGTAACGGAAGTGTACACAGCATGATGATTGAGAAGAGTTTTTGTTTTGTCAATGTGTTGGAGAAGGAAAAGATTACAATGCTCGGTGAAGAACATACGACCAAGATGTTGATTCGTAGGTGGGACTTTTGGTTATATTACATTGCTTATTTCTGTGGAGGAACAATTGGATTGGTTTATAGTAATAACTTGGGACAAATTTCTCAATCACTTGGATATATCTCCGAGACAAGTTCTCTTGTGACACTTTACTCCACATGTTCATTTTTCGGTCGGCTTCTTGCAGCCGCACCCGACTTATTCAATAGGTATGTTTTAGATGTCTTAATTTGTAGTTTCAAGGATAATTTAGATATCTTAATTCTAGTTAATCCACTAATGTTGTACGAAAAATGCAGCAAGACACGCTTTGCAAGAACTGGATGGTTTGCAGCAGCCTTGATACCAACACCGATCGCCTTCATTTTACTAGCCATAACCGGTACTAAAACGGCGTTACAATTAAGCACAAGCTTAATTGGATTAAGTTCCGGCTTTGTGTTTTCTGCGGCAGTATCTATAACATCAGAGCTATTTGGTCCAAACAGTGTTGGTGTGAACCACAACATCCTCATCACAAACATTCCTTTAGGGTCATGTCTTTATGGCCTTCTTGCAGCATTGGTTTATGACTCTAATGCCACGAGTTCAAGACAGTCGATATGGCTGCGCGAGATGTCTATGTGCATGGGAAGGAAATGCTATATGCAGACATTTATATGGTGGGGTTGCATTTCAACTGTTGGATTGGTTTCAAGTTTCTTGCTTTTCTTAAGGACTAAGCAAGCTTATGACCGTTTTGAAAGAAATAAAAATAGCAACAGAATACAGGCAAATTAGCTTTTGAATCAGAACTATGTTGTGATGAACATTGTACCATATGATGCAATGTTGAAAATTTAAGGAATCAAATAATATATTATTTTTTTTGCTTATTGAGTAGAAGTCGCTATAATTATTTTTAGTTCTAAAGGCTAAATAAAATATAGTGAAAGGTAATGTTGGAAATGTTCTGACAACACTATTTCTCATTAGTATGTATGTTTTCTCTTGTCAATATAAGCACCGATATTACCTAATATAAGCAATAGAATTAGCCACATCATGTTAAAATTTGGAACCACAAAATTGCTCAATAATGAAGAAACTAAACGTGGAAAGGGAGAGAGAGAAAGAACTATAATGAGAGAGAGAAATTGAGGGTGAAAATATTTTTATTAACATTAATAACAACAGCTCCAAGGTATTTAAACAATTATAAGTGGATTGAGACACAAGTTACAACATCAAATAACTGAAAAAGTTGAATTCTCGGACCTGTTACCGGTTACCGCTGTTAAAAATCAGAAAAATACAAACAATGATAAATGGTTACTACGAATGTGTAACTATTACACCATCGTCAGAATAACTTTTTCTTCAACTTATTTGACTTTTTGAGATGTCTGTAATCGATTACACACTCGTGATAACCGGTTACAACACTTGAATTATCAAAATTCTCTTAACACAAAACCTTAATTCAAGTGCTCCAAATCTTTCACGCCTATGTTCATCTTCAATCTCTTAAACACTTCAATTGTGTCTCACTTGGTAAATAAATCAGCAACTTGTTCTTCACTTCGACAATATCTTAATCTCAACCTTTCTTCACTAATAAGTTCCACAATAAAGTAGTAAAATCTCGTCTCAATGCGCTTCCTCCTCCAATGTGCAGTTGGGTTCTTAGCAAAATTCATCACAAAAACGTTATCGATCAAGAGCGTTCCAACATTGATGATTTCTCGGCAAATGTGCTGATAATGTCGAGAGATCGAATCTACAGGGAGTGTGCTCGAAAAAGAAAAACTTGTGCAATGTAAAGAAAATAGTAAATGACCAATCGTTAGTTTCTCTAGTGGTGATTGTTGTTGGACTTGGTAGGGAGGATCACGGTTCGATCCTCCGTAATTACGATCGGGAGGGGGCTGGAACCACTTGATGGCAGAACTAACGAAAAAAAGAAAAAAGAAAATAGTAAATTGGGGGAGGGGGGATTTTGCAGTTTGCAGTGTTGCACATGATTATTTCAGTAGCTGCACGCTTTTACTCTCTTTTTCACCTAATTTTTCACTAAGTCTAATTTCTTCACACTTAGCTAAATTTTCCTCATTCTTTGGTCTTTCTTCTTTCTTTTGGATCATCTTTCACTTATTTTTCTATGATTCTCAGCTCACTTTGACTCACTCAATGGATAAGGTCATCTCTCAATTAACATGCAAAACAAGTTATGCTTTACTTGATCATGTTCTAATATAATTCATCACAAAAATCATAACACACACCTTTGAGGGTTTTTTAGGTTTTTGATCTTACCTGACCAGAAAGGAATTAGTGACCTGCCACGCGTCGTGATCTGATGCCTTCACCGGAGTTGTGGATGAGAAGGGGGTGTACTTGCAAAATGCTTCTATGTCTAAGTGAGTACCGGAACTAGAGAGAGCAAGTACATAGAGAAGGTGTGAAAAATAGAACACATGACTCTCTAGTGAAAGGGGGTATTTATAATGTGCCCCCACAGTTACATTGTATTGGGCCGAATTTCCAAGCTCAACACAAGTAACTGACAGGACTTACATGGTGTAGTGAAGACCAGTACGTGGTCTTCGTCCTATATCAACTGCCCCGTGATCTTCGAAAGGTGGACTGACCATCTCTTTCGGAAGTGGGTAGTTGCCTGATGACGTGTCCCCGCGTGGGGGAGCACGTGGAGAACGTGGGGAAACGTGTGGGTTCCTCTGCTAGGAAGGTCGTCTTCCCGACGGAGGAAATTGGGTCTTGTTGGGTCTCGTCAGCCTGGCCTTGGGTTGGGCCTGCCCGACTGAGGACCAAGCCTCGGCCTAATCCAGAACAGTTTTATATTGGCTTATGTTCAGGTAAGCTATTTTTAAGAAAGTAGGTTTAAACATTTGGAGTTAGGTGCATAGTTCTACTTATATTCTCACACCCCTCTGTTCCTTCTTAACAATACTAGAGATTTGGTCCTTATTTTTACTCTTTTTTTAAGTGTCTTTTTTCACTTCTTATTTTCTTAAAAAAATTTAAAATTTTGACCAATTTTCTCTAGTACCCTAACCCCAAACTTAAAATTTTACTCACTTCTAAGAGCAACCGCAAACTTAATATTTTTCATACAAATTAAGATTATACTTCTACCTAACTCCAAAGAGAGGGTGAAAAGAAAAGATCTTTCAATTAATATGGCTAAGAATTTTAGGCTACGTCACCGAAAGAAAGGTTAAGACTCAAAGCGGTTAGTAAAAGGATATTCCTATTACTATAGAGTGATTAAAAAGGCTCAAAGTTATATGATGTGTGTCTACGTGTGGCAGCTTATCCAAAAGTGCATGAATATTATCAGAGTAATATAAAAGATATTGAACCCACAGAGACCAATAGTCAATCCTATCGTTACCAACTATCACTATGTAAATCTAAGGATAATAGGGTATATTTTTGGATTTTAAGAAGGAAAATAAAACAAAAAATAAAGTCGATTTGGGAGAAAATTAATTAAAGCGAGACCGAAACGTAATTCCCAATTGCACCTCTAGGACTCAATAAATTCTTGACGTTTGTTTTGATTTAAAAAAAAAAAAAAATCGGAAGAAAAAATCAATTTAAAAACACTGTTCACTTTCACGCAACCCGTGTTATGTTTTGAAACCATAAATGCTTTGTGTCGTGGTGGAAAAATAATTGAGATTAAGCTATTGATTAACTTAAATCAAAAAATCAAGAGTCACCACCGAACTTTATTGTTTCTAAAGGAAAAAGGAAAAAGGTAAAATAAAACTCACAAAAGCTAAAAAAGCTAAAAAGAGATATCTGGATACAATAGTTGATTATGCAAGGGAAAGATTTTAACATCCCTCACATCCGTTGTACTCAACGGGAACCACTTGCAAATCTGTGTTTATAAAAAGGTGGATTGTTTGTTGGTTAATTTTAAATGAAAATATTTTTTTCGTATTCGAGTGGAAAACTTTACTTACTACCCACAGTATGAGGAAATGAGCATTTACATCATCTTGATATGGAGAATTTTTACTTGGACTTTCTAACAAGTACGTCTTAACATCCAAGTGAAAAATGTCAGTCGTTTCTCAGCATCTTGTAGAAGTATAGTGGTTTGAATCACTACAAGAATAGACTAATATCTAATATTTTGAAAAATGCTCTTAAAGAAAAAATGCATAAGGACACACTAAAGAGTTTGATGAGGTTTGCCTTTTTTAGAAGTTTGAAAAGAGTTTGAATATGCTGAAGTGTTTTACCATTTATTAAGAAAAAGATTTTCTGGATCACTTGACAAAGTTAAGGTTTATTGAGAAAATATATGAAGTTTGAAAACAATAAGTGTTCGAAATAGAGATAAATTTTGAAAATTTAAGAAGTGGGAAGGAGATGACGAGACTATCCTAAAGTATAAAGTAAATGGTCACATTGTCAGGTAGTCCAAGAGAAAGCCTTTGCGTGTGCGAGTCTACTAACCACAAGAAGAGGAAAGCATTTGACATCGGTTAAAACAAGCATTCCTTTCCCTTTGGATTGAGCAAAATATGAACAAGCACCAGACATAGATGAATATCAAGTAAAAACCAGATGGACAACTGAAGTCACCAAGCCATAAAGAGCATCCAAGTCTTGAATTGAGGATCAAAAGTCTCATATGAAGCACTATGTCTCAAATGGATCACAAAGTCTCATATACCACTCCAAGCAAAGGGAAATTCCTAAAGTCCAAGGTCCAAATACTCCTCAGGCAAGTAGGGATTACAAAAAAATCCGTACCCGCAGATATCTATGGATAAAGTTTGTCACGTATATGGGTCGGGTAGCTTAATGGATATCACAGATAACATAAATGGATATTTAAATATCTGTTTATTAATGGATATAGATACAGGTTTAATGATATATGTGTCCGTGAATATCCATACCCCTTACCCCTTAATAAGTTATAAAAATAATTTAAATATCATTAGTTTATTATACCTTATATTTTCATCTTCTAAAAAACCACTCTTCTTATATTTCTTTTTTTTTTCTTTGAAGAAAATATTTCAGGTTTCATTCAAATTCTATTAATCATTTCATATTTAAACTTTTCAATACTTCATACTTCACTTCAATAATTTTATAGTCGAACCAACTAGTATTGTTATTCCTCTGTCGAACCAGTGTCTCCTTGCCTACTCTTTTGTCGTTTGCTCTTCCATCATAATTCACAATCACAATATCTTTTATTTGTTTGATTAAAAATAAAATGTATGGATATTATGTTTGGATCTAATTATGTTTTGGTGAATAAGAAAAAAACTAATTTGATGAAATTTTATTGTTAAATTAAGAAAGGATTGTATGGATATTATGTGATAATAATTTTTTGTTTTCAAAAAATAATTTTTATAAAGGAAATATTATTCATGGATATTTGTGAATATCCATGGATACCATAAAACTCGCGGATTATCCGCTTAACATATACTCGCATGGATATGGATATCAATTTATCCAACGGGGTGGATACAGATACCATAGTATCCGTCCCCATGGATATACACTTACATTTCTACAAGCAGAGATAGTAACACAAAGTCCATGAGATCAAATTAAAAATTTTTAGGGTTTTAACTATTTTATGATGTATTTTTGTTCTTTTCAGATAAGAAAGCAATAAAGCAAGAATAACAACTAGAATATAAATGACAAAGAATGTAAAATGATATAAAAGCAAATACCTAAATGTAAATGACATAAATGCAAAGAGCATAAAATAAATGTTAGATGTTAGCACA